ATGTCGGATGATTTGACTACTGTCTTTTCGCTGGAATAGAAGTACATGTATTTACACCCACGAAAAGAACAGTTGCTCTCATGTATTACTCAAAACTGTTTCTTTCTTAATGTCTTATTTTCTTTCCTTCTTTTCCGTTCCTTTTCTTGAAGTGTTCTCTTTTTTCTTTTCTTTCTTATTCCTTTATTTTCTTCCTTCTTCTTTTTTGGTTTAATCCTCCTCCAACATTACTCTCGTATCGGTCTTTCAAAACTCTCGTATTCTCGTTCTTTTCTTTCAATATCTATGCATTTCTTTTTCTTTCTTTCTGGTATGTTCCGATAGCACAACTCTTTTCCCCTTCGAATTTCCTCTCGTCATTTGATCTGGAATTACAAATTCCTTTTTTGTTGGTAGTGCTAGTCCTCCTCATCTTCTTTCATTTAATCATTTTTTCCTACCTCTTCTATTTTTTTCCAAATCCTCCCCATTCGCCATTTTCTATATCATTTTTCCTTTTCTTTCAATCAACTCGTTTTTTTAAAATTTTTTATTGCACTCTCTTTTTTCCAGGTCATTTTTCTTTTCCCTTCTTTATCTACTTTTTGTTTCTTGTTTCTTTCTTTCTTTCTTTCTTTCTTTCTTTCTTTCTTTCAAATACCGCATTCCCTATATATAACATACACCAATAATTCGGCAAACAATATAAAGGAAAAACTAATATCATTTAATTACTGATTCACCCATCATATATATATATATATATATATATATAAATATATATATATATATATATATATATATATATATATATATATATATATATATATATATATATATAAAATATTTAAACATTTTGATTTGAAATCATAATTTAACATTTTATTACAATAAAGAGGGTCATCAGTGTTTAGTGTGTCAAACAGAAGCTTTTTATTTAAAAAAATTATTTGTAATCACAATTTAATAATTTATAATCATAATTTTTCATTAAGGAGTCACTAAAGGATTAGTTGTGTCACAAAGAAGCTTTTTTAAAAATTGTTACATTTTTGATTTGTAATCATAATGTAATCCTTTATAAACATATATTTCATTCGGGGTTTACCAAGGGACTAGTGTGTTACAGAGCTTTTTTATATTTTGAATAGTTTTTTTTCTTATTTGTAATCATAATTTAATCCTTTATAATCATAAACATACCATTCGTGGGGGGCTCATCAGAGGACTAGTGTATCAAACAGAAGTTTCGTTTTTAATATTTTAATATTTTTTTTAACTTTTCATAATAATTTAATCATTTATAACACCATATATTTAATATGTGTCTAACCAAAGGACGAATGTGTTATTTCCTAGTACTGTTGAGCCTTCCGTCGGGATATAAGATGTAGGGTATTTTTTCGATGTGATTTTAGAGGAAACTAATACACCTTATATGGTGAGGAAACCTAATATTTCGCCATTTTTTTTATTATGTCTTTTTTTCGGCGTCATTTTTCCTTCCTTTTATTTATTTTCATATTTTTTTTTTTTTTTTTTTAAATTTCTTCTTTCATTTCTTGTTCCTAACATTTGCTTTTTCCTTCTCACTTTAACCTATAGTTTCAATTCTTTTTCTCATCTTTCCTGTTCGTTGATTCATTCATTTCTTACCCTGTCTTTCTTCTTCTTCCACATCTTTTTCGTTTTTAGTACTGTTCGATATTTTCCTTCTTTTTCTTATCTATTGTTTCTTTCATTAAACCTTTCATTCAAAAATTTCTTCAATTTCTGTGTTTAATGGTCGTATTTACTTCCGTCAACCCACGCCACACTCTCTCGAATCCCATCAAGTCTCGTCAATTTTCACACGTCATATGCGTTTCTCGTTCCATTTTTGCTTAATAATCCTTCGTTACTTCAGCTTCTCTTTAATCAACCATTATAATTTCTAGCTATCTGTGTAAGTATTTGTCTATTTGTCCGGCATTAAAATCTAACACAAAGACTTATTTTTCAAAAAATCAGTTCACCCCAAGCAAAGCGGGAATACCAACAGTAAGCAAAGGGAGTGAAAGCCAAAGAGAAAACTGAGATTAGTGAGGATTGGGGAGAGGACAAAAGATGATTGAGATTCAAGAAGACAGAAGATGGCGATTGACGTTTAAATTTTTGAAGATTGTAGTTATCAGGGAAGCAAGGAAACGAAAGGGAGTTCCACAGGAGGGAAGTGCGAGAAAAGAAACTGTTGGAGTAGAAATCGCGTTTACGTTTAGCTATTTCAACAGTAAACGGGTGGGACCTAGATGCCAATCTAGTAGCACGCTTAAATTCACATAGTCGGGGCGCCAGGGAAAAAAAAAGAAGAAAAACTCGTCAGAGCAGTTGCCATGAAAATATTTGTCGAAAAGACAGAGAGAAGTCACGCCGGTGAGAAAGTGACTGAAGACGAGATCCCTGGTTAGGATCGACGAGATTACAGATACTTCTTTAGATTTTCTCATGAATCTCGAGATGCATAGCAGGAACACCAGACCAGATATGGCAGCAGTATTAAAATATGTCATAGGTAGATTTTATCCAAAGCTTGTTTCATGTACACATCAAAAGACTATGACTTCACTATATTTTTTTAAGCAAGGCGGGAAGCCACTAGCACGCAAGAAGTTACAGAGAGTTGGAGTGAGATAAATAGGAGTGATAGAGGAAAGGAAGAGGAGAAGGATAGGGGATAGATCAAGACATCTGGAGACGTCGATTGACATTACATTTGAATAGTTGGATAATATAGCTAAATTCATGAAGTCTGGGAACCAGTAAAAGCAGCTCATCGGTGTAGTTACCATGGCAGTATTTGTAAAAAAAAGACAGAAGGAGGCGACGGCACGTCTGTGGGAGAGCGACTAAAGCAAGAAACTTGAGACAAACAGAAGGGGCTCCAGACTATATATGGCAGCAATACTCCATGCAAGGGCAAATAGAATTTTTCTTAATGTTCTTTGTTCATTCATAGAGACGAGTTCATCTCTTAGACTTTGGGCTACCATGAGGGTATGATGGATGTAGTTGACGAACAGAGTCTTTAATATGTGAGCATTGACGGGGCGGAGGATCTTCTGGACTTCTTACATCTTGATTTTGCCAGGGATTTTGCCCGTGTATTTAGTTTAAACAAAAACCCCAAAACGCTACAGCAATCGGACGACCCTACCGGGTCATAGAAATTTTGAGTTTACATCCCAGGACAGACCGAAAGCAACTGTTATTTTCTAGTTTTCCTGCACTACATTCTCTCAATTTCCATTTCTTGATCTTTATATTTTCAACAGTTTTCTGTAGTTTTTAGGGGGGGTCTTTCTTTCTGTGGGGATACACATGACGATGAGCAGATGTTTTGTTTTTGCCTTTCACTGCAATTGTGTAGCGATTTTGACATGTTTTCGGCGTAATATGCTAAAATACATAAATAAATAAATCGCGGACTCTCCCGTAGTTGATCGACGCGGGCTGTCGACCTACGCCGACCGAGGACCCTTTTACGACGTATGAGGGTCAGGCACCTCAGTTCCTAGGAACCGACAGCCAGACAACCTGCACATATGACTTGATTATAGTGGTGAAGGCATTGTGCAGAACCAACCACACTTTTTGAAGAGCCGAATACAGAGACCTGGTGTGCCACAAGATCCCCAAACGACTCTCCGCAGGTTTTGAATTCAGAGTTTCCTTCTCCTAGACCAGTTGCCATCCAAGGCTATAGAACCCAGCCTGTCCTGCTATTTACCCATAGCCGCGGGAAGGGGAGGAGAAGAAGACGATTCATACCGTTCCCAAGGGTATTAGCACGTAAGTAAATGTAATGGATTCGACTGAAATCGAACTCGGCTCTCCGATTCTAATCCGAGCCGTTAGCCATTACTACTCTGTCTATTATATATATATATATATATATATATATATATATATATATATATATATATATATATGTGTGTGTGTGTGTGAAATGTGTATATATATATATATATATATATATGCAGTTTATATATTATTATTTATATTATATACGCGCGGTATTTATTGAAAGCGCTCAATATCAGAGATAGAGCTAACATATTTAGTTGGATTGATGAGTTTGTGACCCTGGGTTTCACGTTTTTTACGATCGTCAGACAAATGAAAGAGTTTGTCTGACGATCGCAAAAGCGTGAAACCTAGGGTCATCAGTCCAACTATATATATATATATATATATATATATATATGGTGCGACAAAAGTAACACCCTTTTCATTTATTAACTTTTATTGAACAAAAATAAATGACAATAGTTGAAATAAATGTTCGTATATGGGGTGTACTAAATATATATATATATATATATATATATATATATATATATATATATATATATATATATATCATAATAAAAAAAAGAAAGAACAGTAAGATATATAATCCGGTGTTCTTATTGATATTTTTATTTTTATTTTTATTTTTACAAAGCAGTGCTCAATGTAAATTTACGCAGCATAAATATTATAAATTAACTGATATAAAATATGGTTTCTTTGCTACACAGGAATTACCATGTTTCAAAACCCGATGCTAAAAACTTCAAATTTAATTATATAATTAAATTAAAAGCATTAGTTTTGTTTCATCTTCAAGCGAATTTTGGAATAACTATAGGTTTAAGGTGTGTTCTTTTTGTGAGATAAAGTGTTCAATATCTGTTTTTATCATCATTTATTGATATAAATACGAATGTGAGGGGTTTTGGCAGAAGAGAGATTAGGAGAGATAGTAAAAAGATAAACTTTATTAAGAGGTACAAGAGGCTAGAAATTGGGAAGAGCCATGATCGGCCACGCCCTGAAGAAGTATATCTATGTGTTCGTGATTATATGTATCGCAATATTTATATTGCTATATATGTTGCATAATGAGTGTGCATATCAGTAATAACATGTACAAATGTCAGATTAAACTCTTTCATATGTGTACCTATGACTGTATGTATGGTAAATTATATATATATATATATATATATATATATGAATTATGAAAAAATATAGTTTTAAGGTGTGCTATTTTCATGGAATAAAGTGCTCAATATCAGAAATAGAGCGTATGTAAATATAAATATAAAAATGAACATTGAAGTCAACACTCAAAGGCGACAACCTGTTTCATGCTAAACGCAATACACCATTTTTGGTCTGATCTGACTCTTGCAATGATACAGCATGCAGGAAGAGTCAGATTCTTTCTGGATCGACTTAAGGTGACGGCCACTTTTTCCAGCGTCTTTAGCGATGGCTCATTTATACGATTTGAATTTGAAGTCTGGCGCGAACATGGCTCTCATAAGAGGCTCAAAGCAATGAGCCTCATTGAGAGTGCAAATATTTATTGTGAAGATTTAGGATCACCTCACTGGTTATGAAAAGTTACTCACTTGGATTTTGAACGACGATGTCGGATCAAAATGTATCGGGACTTATTGCTATGGTAACGGAGCTAACGTACACAGAGTGAAGCCGCTTTTCATAGTCTGATCTTGAACTCTGTCACACAGCCACAATAAGTTATAACGTTCTCGTTTAGTTTCCATTGTTTGTAGCAGTGTTTGGAAGGAAAGTGTGTAGAGTGTGGTCGTCTCATCACCCCGCAGAGATTCCATCAGTGAACATGGCTTATGCAGCAGTACAA